TATTGTTATCTATTATTTCTCTATATGTATCCCAGTTTGTTTTATTGTTGTGTAGTTTAGGAGTAGGTTGTTTATGGATTACTGAGGAGCTGATGGTAGCTATTACAGGAGTATGGTCTGATGAGAGTTCAAAGCTTGGAGTTACGTCAGCATATGTGGAGGATAGTCCTTTAGTAACGAAGAAGTCTAGCAAGTCCGGTGTCTTCTGTGGATCAGTGGGCCAGTAAGTTGGTGTGCCAGTAGACATATAATAATAGTTTTCTTCTTGCATCAATTTTGCTAGTTCTCTTCCTTTAGTTGTTGTTAATCGGGATCCCCAAAGTACATGCTTGCTGTTATAGTCGCCTCCGGCGATGAATTTATTTCCCAAAGTGGAGAAGAATGATTGATAGTCTTCTTTTTTGTTGTTATGCCGAGGGGGACAATATGCAGCTGAAATTGTTATGTCATAAGGCAATGTCCTTACTTTTATTGATGTGGCCTGAAGGAAGTTTTCTTCAAATTTCGGGAGCTGATAGTGGTCGATTGATTGGCTGACAATGATAGCGGTACCTCCGTGAGCAGTGCCATCCGGATGATTGGTACTGTATGTATTGTATTGGGGAATTTTTATGTAACTTTCTGCGGTGAAGTGTGATTCACTTATTAGAAGTATGTCTATAAAGTTTATTTTAAGGAATAATATTATCTCATCCCTGTGCTGACTAAGTCCATTATCATTCCATAATGCTATTCTTAGGCTTGTATGCCTTATTTGAGCTTGTTCAAAACTGTACTGTTTTGTTGAATTAATTGATTAAACATTTGTTTATATTCGTCAAGGAATCTCATTAGAGTTAGTTGGTTATTTTCTATTGAAGCTGGCTGGGTATTATTGTATCTTGAGTCGTTTTTGGTAACTTCGGCGTAGCTTCTTTTGTTTAGGTGAGTGTTGGTTGATTGTCCCCTGGGAATAATTGGCGTAGGAGGAAATTCATTCCAATCTATCATTGGGGTATGAACCTTTTGTTGATTTATTGGCTTATTTGTGATCACTTTATTGCTTCTCTTTATGTTTCGACAATAGTCGCATCCCTCGTAAGTAAAAGTAAAGGAAAGCTATCCCTGTAACAGGCCGTGGAGGCCCAGAGGGCTGTGAGATGTTGGGGTTCCCACATTTTCTAGACAATCTGCTCGTAGATGGCGGCGAGGTTGGCAGCCCTTTACCTCCCAGCAATATCCCAGCTGAGTCGTTCCCAGGGACATAGTGCGGCTGGAAGGATTAGGTAAATAGAAAAATCCAGTGACCTCGTTGGGAATTGAACCCGCGACCTTCAGGCTTGTAGCATAGTGCCTTAACCAATTACACTACCGCGTGCCACCCGTTCAGTTACAAGATACTGAGGGAAATATCTGGACTGAAGAGAGATGGAATGGCAAGAAGTTGGAGGAAACTGCAAAATGAGGTGCTTCAGAACCTTCACTGCTCGCCAAATGCAGCGTGATTCAGAAAGATGGACACAATTTCAATTGGCTATATTTCCTGAATTGTATGTTGCATTTGAATTCTGTAAAGTACAATTGAAAGAGGATGTTGAAAGCTTCTAATGCTACCGCTAGAGCACTCCAGCACCGCGTCAGTTGTAAGCGAGATGGCTACTATACAACACAACATTTTTTGCATTCGTGAGTTCAGTAAAAGTGAGTCTGCGACTGCGGTGCAGCCTGCATTTAGCCGTAAGTTTAACATCCAACCTCAAACGAGGAAGAGCATTTATCGTTGGAAGAAACAATTTGATGAAACTGGCTCTCTGTGTAACGGTAAAAGCCCGGGCCGATCGCGTGTATCGGAGGAGAACGTGGAGCGCATTCGAGTGAGCTTGGAGCGTAGCCCAATGAAGTCAACCCGTAGTGCTAATAGAGAACTTGGACTATCGCAAACAACTGTCTGGCGTGTATTGAGGCGCCGGTTAGTGTACAAACCATACCACCTACAACTGGTACAGGCTCTTCGCCCAAACGATAAGGTAAAGCATGTAGAATTTTGTGACCGTATGCTGAAAAACATGGAAGATGAATTGTTTCTGCCTCGTGTAATTTTTGACGATCGAGTATGGGGTGAATTCAGCTACCGTCTACATGTTATCCGTGCAGCCGGAGGGGGGCACATTGAACATCTATAAACTTCCATGTATGTATAATCAAATGTAATTTACAGAATTCAAATGCAACATATAATTCACGAAGTATAGTCAATTGAAATTGTGTCCATCTTTCTGAATCACCCTGTATAATTACAATGATCAGGTCAATGAGGATGAGGTGGGCCGGACAGGTAGCGCTCATTGGAGAAAATGAATGCATGTAGGATTTTAGTGGGAAATCCAGAAGAAAACCCTAGACGCAGGTGGGAGAATAACACTTAAAATACACCTTAGAGAGATAAGATGGGATGGTATGGACTGAATCTACCTGGCTCAGGATAGGGACCTGTGGAAAGCTCTTGTGAACACGGTAATGAACTTTCGGGTTCCATAAAATGCTGAGAATTCTTGAGTAGGTGAGCGACTGGAGGCTTCTCAAGACGGACTCAGCTCCGTGTAGTCAGTTAGTTAATTAGTTAAGCCGCCGGTATCTGTTTCACCATAATATTTCCTTTCGCCCAGCATTGCCATACACATTATCTTTGTAAGAGAAATAGACGTGTTGGAACTTAATGAGGACCGTCTGCTGCTCACTGTGGCTCTTTTCAGGTTCACTTGAGATTCATTTCTTAGACGCTACCTAATAACTAATGTAGTAGCACCAGTAGGAGATCTTAAGTTTGAAAGTTATTCATTAGCCCTCTGTTAAAAAGGCCGGACACCATTGCTTGGACATGTTAACACACTACATATGCATGAATCGATAGTAGTTAAGTTCCACTTTGAAGGCATTTTCTGTTTTCCACAGCGGCCAGTATCCATACCAGTCGAGGTTTCGGGGGCTATCGGCCATCAACCTGTGCGCCAGAGTCACCGTGGTCTACGCTTCGGTTCCTGGGACCATCAGCTCGCGTGGGCGGGCTGCTTGCAGCGCTGTGGGGTACGGCCTGTTCGCTTCATGCCGCTGTGTTGATCCAAGCTGCCAGAACGCTCGCGGTCAGCAGTTCTGCCGCTGCAAATCATCTGACCAGTGTCACATCAACAAGTCCAAATCTTACAGTTCTTGCGGCTGTGCACCTCTCCTTGTCAACCCTAACCTTACTTGTCGTACTCGCTGTACTCCGAGTGGACTGCCGCTATGACCCTGACTGACCCACATTCCCGGCCACCACTCAAGGTGGGGGTGGCCCGAATGCTGGGATAGGGGTTAGTGTTGTTGGTATTGGTGCTGGTTTCGGGGGAGGGGGAACCACAGCTGCATCAACTGAGAGAGTCAGTCGGGTCGCCTGGGTCGTTTAAGACCATTTCATGTGAACTTGAGTTGATCAGGTAAGATTCTGTTTGCGAATTTGTTGAATAAACACCTGTGAGCAGCTGATGTTATTGTATGCATCTGTAGAGCTTGGGAGTTGTATGTGAGGTTATGAATCTCAGACAGACATGTATATGTATGTACATCAAATGTGGTCTCCTATTCTTGTCAGGGCCACTTTGATGGACCTTGGACAAATTATTATT